AAGAAGACCATCTGATTGATTAAAATTAAATATTCAAAACAAGAGAATCATTAGTTTTGATGTTTGATGTTTAATGTTTAATTTTAATTTGATTTAGATGATTTTAAGTACTTTTGCACCTTGAGATGAAGCAGTTTGAATGATGAATTGACATTTTTTTAAATTGTTTAAAATGTTTGATTTACTATTTTTACAATTGATCATTAAAAGACATTAGTTTTGAATCAATCAAAGTTTAAAATGTAGAAAAGTTAATGGAAAAGTGTGACTTACCTGCAGAGTTGACCAATTGCAATTAACACCATCTTGATTGAAAAAGTAAATGAACAAGAGAATCAGATCATCAATATATGCAGTCTATCTAGCACCGATTGAGTATCCGGTCAACTTGACTCAGGGCCTCGGGAGTCGGTCGGAGGTGTAGATTACCCGATCATTCTTGATTGAACGGGATCGGATAAGGTGTTGACCGTTGAAGTGATGAAAATCTAAAAAACCATTTTCAAGTAAAAGAAACCAATTGACCATCGAACAGAACAGAACAGAACAACAACCATCCATCCATCAAACAAACAAACAATCAATCAAACAATGACTCAAATTGAAAATGATCAAAACTCTACAATTCATAATCTACCAGTCGATCTGATTGAAATTTATCAAACCTTGAAAACATTAATCAAAACTGATGATCAAGAATCCGTCGAATTAAACTTACCATTAAACTTGATCACTCTAATCTCACATTCAATCTTAATCAAACATCAATTCAAATTAAAACTTTCTCATCATTCCAACAATCAAGAAGATAATCAATTTAATACTGATTGGAATGAAGTTTTAAAATCCGATCGAGCCATTCATTTTACTTATACTCATCCTCGTAGTAGTCTTTCTTTTGAAGTCTCGTTTAATAAGATTGGTGAAAGGATTAGCATCTCAGGTATCACTGTTGAAGTAAGTATCAAAATCATCTCAACTTTTTTTTTCTTTTATAAGATGATTTGGAATTTTTTGATTTTCTGATGAGATTGCTTTATTTTCATTATTTATAGAATGATAAAGTTTATAGTCATGATTTATCTATACCTGGTTACTTTGATTTGGGAGATTTTCCAATCAAGATCTCATCAAATGAAGCTGAAGATTTAGGATCTATCGGATTTCGTTCTACATCTCATTTACTTGATTTCAGCTCACTTTTGATCAATGATGTCTTACATCATTTATTACCAGATCTAATCCCTAAGACATCATCTACACCAGCTCATCAATCTTCATCAGGACCAGTTCCAGTTCCAGCTTCAGCAGCACCTTCCTCTACTCGAACTCCAATTCCTCAATACTCAAATCCAAATCCAACTAGTTCAATTCAAACTCCTTTTAATATTGGTCAAAGTGATTTAGATCCAATCGGTACATCAAACATTGGGATTCCATCTCTTTACAATAGACCAACAAATGAAATCAATTCGATCCATTCAAATCAAGGCATGTTTGTAGGACCAAATCATTCAATCTTTAATCATCATCAAAATCAAAACCCATCTAACTTAGGTCCATTTGGTGGTGATGGATTCTTACCACCGAATTCGGTACCGAATCGAGCTAGATTCGATCCGATCGGTCCTGGAATTGGTTTTATACCTAGACCTTCTAGAGGTGAAAATGAACTAGATCCGATGGGTGGGTTAGGTCAAGGTTTACCTATGGGTCATCCATTCCCTTCACGCGGTGGTGGTGGTGGTGGTGGTGGTGAGTTTTTTTTTTGAATTTTAGTCACTCAATGGAATTTTTTGTTGTGAATGGTTTTTATCAATTTAATCTTTTCTTTATACTTTTTTTCTTTAGGATTTCATGGATCTGGTGGACCATCTGGTTATGAAGATATGTTTATGTAAATCAAGCATTGTAAAGTAAAAAAAAATCAGATGAAATTAAGTGATGAGAATGTAAAAATTAAAATCAAAATTAAATTGTAAGGGGGGGTTTGTGAGTCAGAAGAAAAAGATTGGGTTTTTATTTATTTATATATATATATATGTATATATTTTGAAAAAAAAATCGAACCAAAGAGAATTAATTCAAAAATACATACCATACTTTATTTTGTTTAGTGATATATGTTTTTGAATCGAATGGTAAAGAAATGAATTTTGTGATGTACATATATTAAAGTGAACTCATTCATAACTTGATCATTTTGAAAAAAAATTAAATCAATATCTACATACTCAACTTTTTTCGTTTTCCTTTCAATATTTGTCAAAAATTAGATGAGCAAATCTTGAATTTTCAAAAAAGTGCCAAAAAGAAAATGTAGCGTTTGATGAACAAGTCTTCGTACATACTTGTTTTGAGGGTACGCTTGAGTGTAGTAAGATAAGACTTTAGGACTGATGAAAACTGACGTCATCAAGCTTTGTTGTATAAAATTTGTACAAGTTGAATCTTGAAAGCTGTGTGATTCAAGATGAACATTGAAATCCTCTTGACTTTATCTTGGATTAAAATTGTTAAGTTAATCTAAAGAAATTCAAACGAGTTCTTGATTGAGATTTAAACACTGGGGCGAAGATTGAGTCACATTTTGATATGTGAGAAATGTGTTGATCAAAGTCACGTATGGCACACACATCCGCAGTGACTGCGGCGTGACTGCGGCTGTGTGAGCACATCGTGACATTGATCAACTAATGTCTCACATACCAAAATGTGACTCTATTGTCACTCCAGTGAAACAAGTTATCATCTTCCTGATCGCCAAGTTGAGATTCTATTTTAGCTCTAGCTTTAGTTTGATTGATTGATTGATCTGTGTAGATGGCTAAGCTTATGCCTAGAAATGATGAGTTCAAATTAAAATTACATCTTGAACTTCAACTCATCCATCTCGGTCACGTGAACTTTGATCTGATTTTTCTTATTTAATGATCAAGATTGAGAGTTGATTGGAGGCAAGTGCTTAAAATTCAGTTGAAAGAGTGAACTTGGTTTGGTTAAACTGATGGAAAAGGTTTATAAAAACCCTTATGATTTTTTTGTTCTTTATCTCAAATCCTAAACCAAGCTTTCGATGAACTTGATTGAAACTTTTTTTATAAACTCATCAAAATTGATTATTTGATTTTCTAAAGACTCTCACTTTGAAATCTCATTAAAATCTTAATAACAAAAATGACCAATACTACTTCTTATACAAATCAAACTTTTCCAAGTCAATTTCATCAACAAGAAGATTGTAGAACTGGTGGTGTTTATACAACTTCTGGAATTGGATCCTCATTTCCTTCTTCATTTGAAGAACCTTTACCTCTTGGCTGGTAAATCAATCTATTTATTTTTTCTTTACCTTTTTTCAAAATGATCCTTTTTGAAGATTTAATGTGTTTGTTTTTCTATATAATTTAATTCATAGGATCAAGCAATGGAATCATCAATACCATACTTTCTTTTATGTGAACACAAATGTTCAACCCATCATCACTCAATGGATTCATCCATCCCATTTCACTCCTTCTTTAACTTCATCTAATCCTTCTGAATCTTGTACTACTTCGATCCCTCAACCTAACCCTCCACCTGGCTATACTGATGTTGTCTCTAATGGTATCTCACCAATGATAACTGAAGAGAAAGGAGGATTGAAGAATGATCAAGCTATCTCTGGTACGCCAAATAATGAGCGGAATGGTAAATGATGACTCGATTTTTTTTAAAAAAAGTCTTCTTAAGTTTGACAGAACTAATGAATTCATCTTCCTACTGGACCCGAAGCTTCTCATGCTCCACCTCCTAACCAATACGGAGCCCCATCAAATCCTCCTCCCAGCGCTCCCCCCTCTAACCAGTACGGAGCTTCTCCGAATGGTCTGCCTCCCAACCAATACGGAGCACCTCCAAATGGTCCGCCTCCCAACCAATACGGAGCACCTCCAAATGGCCCTCCTCCTAACCAATACGGAGCGCCTCCAAATGGCCCTCCTCCTAATCAATACGGAGCACCTCCATATGGTCCGCCTCCCAACCAGTACGGAGCTTCTCCAAATGGCCCTCCTCCCAACCAATACGTAGCACCTCCAAACGGTCCGCCTATCAACCAATACGGCCCTCCACCAAACGGTACTCCTCCCAACCAATACGGAGCACCTCCAGCAAATGGCCCTCCTCCCAACCAATACGGCCCTCCACCAAACGGCCCTCCTGTTAATCAGTACGGCCCTCCAGCAAGTGGTCCACCTGAGTATCAACCTACTCATCAGTATAGTGTTACACCAAATCCGACTATGATGAATCCCGAAACCAAGAAATCTAAAACAGAATTATTTAATAAAGGTTTAGGTGCTTTAGGTGCTTTAGGTTAGTAATTTTTTTTCCTTTTTCCATGATTTTTCTTTTAGATAGATGTTGATGGTTTTTTTTTTGTTTTTTTTTTGTCTGGCTGGGGTTCTGGGGTTCAATGGGGGGTGGTTTTTTTAGGTTTGGGTACATTTGTTTCACATGAATTGAATGAAATTGAAAAGAAATTTGAAAAGAAAGAAGAAGAAGAAATTGAAGAAGAAGTTTTCAAAAAGATTTTTTGAAAAAATATTCAAAAGTCTTCATCTTAAAGTGTAACTAGATTTTTCTCTTTTTTTTTTCTCTTTTTTTTTCTCTTTTTTTTTTTTTGAAATTTTTGGTTTTTGAAAGTTAAAGTGTACTTTTCTTGAAATTTAGGATTTCTTTTCTTGATTTGATTTTGATTTGATTTTCCTTTCTTTTTCTTTCTTTTGATTTTTTTTCTTTTTTGCCTTTTTTGATTTTTCTTTCTTTTTGTTCTATCAAATTTCTTTGTATCATCATGACTCATTTCCAAATTTATAAAATACTTTTTCTTCATTCACATTCATCTCTCATTGTCTTTCTTCCTTTATCAAATCCTCATATCTCTCATATACTTCTTTGATGGTCTCAAATTAAAACCTCTTTTGTATTTTCGTAAAACGGTGCACGGACCATGTGTCTCTATGGCGCAACTGGTTAGCGCGTCCGACTGTTATGATTCAAATGCGATCGGGAGGTTGACAGTTCGAGTCTGTCTAGTGACGCATTGCTTTTAGTGGTTTAAATCCTCAATACCTTCTGATCAATGGCTTGGGTTGCGTCCTTCCACATGGTTCATCTCATGCCAAACAAGGTCTTGAGGGGATGGGACTTTTATTGCGGAAGAAGTCCTCTGTAGTCTCTCATGTTGAACAGAATGGATTGAAAGAAAAATGTCGATGATTTGTAAACATGAAGTTGAACTCATCAAATCATAGTTTACACTAATTGAAACAAAGCTTACTATTTAAAACCAACATTTAATTTTACAAAGATAAATCGAAACAAAAAGATATTTATCAAAGTAGGATAGATATTAGAAAAAAGAAAAATAGGAGAGAAATCTCTCTCATAAGAGAGATATGAAGGTAGTGAGGATTTAATCAAAAGATTAGAAAGAGAGTGATTAAGAAGATGGTGCAGATAAAGGATCGGTTAAAGACCAAAGATACCAAATCGCTATTGATCGAAACGGTTTCCAAGATTCTGTTAATTCTTCTACTCCAAGAATAAGAACCCCAACACCAGCACCAAAAAAGAAGATTGAAATCAGAAAAGGATTGATTAACTTTTTTTGATGTTTGAATGATTGAATTTAGAAAATGGATGGATTAGAGGATCCTTTGAAAAAAGAAGAAGATCACTTACCCATTTCATTTGGTGTAAGATAAAGTCCAGGTTTGATGGGTTTGGTTAAACGAGTTTTTAAAGAAGAGGATTTGAATGTAGAAGAATTAGGAAGAGGTGGTGGATCTAATTGATTCCATGATAAAACGGTTTTAGATGATGCATTTGTAATAGGGTTTGAAATTTGATTTTCTTCATGAAGTTCATTAAGGTTTGATTTTTTAAGTTTTGAGATGGGTTTCTTAGGTGAATTGATGGAGATCGTATTGGTATACCATCTTAATAATCCTTTTTGAATACCTAAATCTGAGACTGGTAAAATATTTGGATGTTTGATGGTGAAGATTAAGAACACTAGATGAGATAATCGTGAAGAAATAGAGAAGAATGAAAAAAGATGAATTGATAAGTAAGTTTAAGAAATTCTTAAAAGGGAGATCAATGATCGATGGATTTAATTTTTCTTTCGACTTACTTTCTACAGTCCATCTACCGATCCCTCTAACAGCACATAATTCATTCATGATCTCATCTGGATTCATGTTTAATAATCTTTGACTTGATAATTGACCATTTACAAATCGATTAGAAAGGTCTAATAAATACTCTGCTTTCCTTTGACTCACACCTGAACTTCTTAATCTTTCTATTGAACATTTTGATACTTGTGATGGAGTTGGAAAAGATGAGTTTGAGGGATCTAAATCACTAATCAGATATAAAACAAATCGTCTTAGAAAAGTATCTTGAAATCAAAAAGTTAAAGGAAGAAGCGGAATGATCTCAAATTGAACTCAACTCGGCTTTCTCAGGTAAGTCAGGAAAGAAACTATAAGACGATGTTCAAGCAATCAGAGCAGATGATCAAAAAATAAATCAGTACTCAAGCGTCTATAATAATGAGATTCAATAAAAACAGGGTCAATCAGATTCAACTGACAGTCTTATAAACTTATGAGTAATCGATTTAGCAGCTGACCAACTAACTTGTTGACCCAAGATACTCTTACACAAACTTTGGAATGGATCAGGTTTAATCTTCAATTCTGAAGCTTCGAATGGTTTACAAGCTAAGGTTTCAAAAAGTAACTTGAATCGTTCATCCACTTTAATCAAATGAGCCTTTGCTTCTTCTAAATCGAATGAATCAATTTGAACTTTATCTTGATGATCGGATGAGATTGGTGATGATGTAGTTTTGGTAGGTTTGATTGAATGATTGTATTTTGCTTTCTTGGTCGGATTCAATCCTGCGATGGGTGATGAAACTTTAGTTGATGTTTTGAATTGATCTGATTGAAAAGTTGTGGTGGTTAAGTTCTTGCTCGTAAGCTTCTTGGCTGCAAGACGATTTGAAGAACGGGTGAGAGGCATTTGATGAACTGAATCAGTGAATTGAAAAGAATCCTAGGTTGATAATTGTTTTCCGGAGGAGGGACGACGTAGGTGGACGGTGTCCACGGGTACGGGTAATACAATTGGGCCTAGTACCTCATATTGTATTAATCCATAGGGTTGGTCTGGTCTTATTTCGAATATTAAGTATATATTCTTTTCATAATCCATCATGATGGATTATTTGTTACTAGACTAGGCAGCTAGAATTACTGCAAGTGCCACGGCAGTTTATGCAATGAATTGTTACCAACCGTAGATTATATAGATTTATATAGATGAGAGTTTGGAGGGTGATTTGTCCCATATCCGCTCCAAACATAACATCTTTTTATCCACGTTTATTATCTTAAAGAATCTAATCATTCCATAACAAATATCATCTTCATAAACTAAGATTAGATATTTATTCCAAATTCTATTTTTATAAAATTTTATTAATTTTATAAGTTTTTCAAAATTTTATTGATTTGAAGAAGCAAGTTATTCTTAATTTCAATATGTCTTCTAACGTGATACAAGATGTTACCGCCGCAATGGGAGCTTTAACTCCAGCTACGATCACTGTTGCAAGCACCACTACTACCCAACCAGTTGCTTCGCTGGGCGAAGCCAGGAAAGAAGGAGGTGCCTCCTTGAATGCGTCAACTGGGAGCGGATCTTCCTTTGGTAGATATAACAGGCAGATGTTAATCTCAAACTACCTCAATAGAGGCACAGGTAAGCAACGTTTTGCTCCCTAAAACCACTTCCTAAATCATGGACTTTTGTTAAAGTTCCATAAGGAAGTAAGAGAGTCATGTATTGACTTAGGCAAATTCGGTTATAAAATTTTTCTCCTAAAGCATCAAGCTCATTGGATCCTCCTTTAGCCGGAGGGAACAATCCAAAGGAGAAAAACCGTAAGCCAATTACTGTCACTGATTCTAAAATGATCCATGATTAAGAAAGGCAGAAATTGATCCAAAACTGAATTTACCATTCACAGGCATAGACCCAAACATCGCTGATACGGCAGACAAAGGAAACGAGAAAGACGTACCTACAGACCCAGTTGCTAAGGAGAAAGCAAAGATTGTCGATTCTGGAATCCACGACATGTTCGACGATGAGTCAATAGCAAGAACTATGAATTTATTGAACCAGATAAAGATCAAAAGGAAACTCACTAATGACGGGAAAGTCATAGACTTAACAGAGGATAGGTCCTTAATTCCCCTAATCAATAAAACGCACAGTTTTACGAAGAGTTTTAAATTGCAAGAATCAGTTTTTTCGGAAGGGGGAATTGCATTCGATTTCAGCATCGCACCGGACGCAAAGTCACAATCATTACCACTCTTCTTTCACAAGAATATGCAGTTACTCCAAGGACAATTACCTTTAACAATCTTTAACAAGGGTTGGCAACTGACAGCTAGCGACAATCATGTCGAGTACAAGAAAACCGATAAAGAGGTCGACAAATATAGAGGACACCCATTCCCAGGAGAATGGTCTCAATCGAGGTTTGAGTGGGGAGAAAACATGGATAACTTTATTTCTATGTTAAGAGATGATTATAACTTTGCTGGTTTTGCGGACGCTATGGAGGTCCATAAGAGGAATGTTATACGGATCTTCAAAGAACAAAGGTCTTGGGTCATCGCCTTTAAATATGATCTCACAATCCGCAAAGCAGTGTTCGCGGTAAGGAACCCAGATCAGAAGGTACCAAACCCGGCCTTGGAACCGATTGGGCTGGTGAATGAGATCTTTTACAATGCGCGAGCTCAGGATGACTTGAACACTTTGGATAACCCTTACATGAAGGGGGGTGAAAAGCATGGAAGGAATCCGTACTCAGATGTGTTAACAGACTACTCACACCAGAACCCTTCCTCCTCAAACGCAAGAGCTAATAACGGAGTGTTCAGGAACTCCTTTAACAAAAAGGATAGGCCATTCAGGCAATCAGGTCCATATGGGAACTATAGGGGTAAGAATTTTGACCCTAATCATAGGAAAGGACCTGATCCAAAGGGAAAGGAAAGGAAGGAGTAGGTCACTTGTATCTCTTCTTGCCAATGTTTTTCTTTTTCGTTCAAATTTTTGGTCTATCTGTCCTATCTATACACGAATGTCTCGTTAAACCCACCTATCCAATTTCGGCATCTGCCCCACTAATATCTTACTCAGGGTTCTTGTATATCCCACCATAAGATCTCAATCCACATGATATTTACTTTTGCAATTATTATCTTCCCTTTTTTTCCATTCGTAAACAGGATTATACAACAGTACCAAACACATTCATCAGACTCAGAGTCATCCTCATCATCAAGAGAATACCACGATGATAAGGTATGGCCTGGAAAGGTGTCGTGTGAAATGAACATCCCAGAGTGGGATGCTGCCTTGAAGAACGCAGGTTTGTTCGAGAAATTTGGCGATATTTTACGTGGTTTCAAAGTTGGATTTACTCAAGGAATCCCCCATCACTTTTTAATTGACTGTAAGTGGTACACCCCACCGAACCACCCCTCCTCTGAGTTAGCAAAAGAGAAAATATCCTCAAGTATGCAAAAAGAGAAGGAAGCGGGAAGGATTTTCGGTCCCTACACACACAACGAGGTATACGAACACGTTGGATTCTTTAGAACCAACCCAATGGGGGCTGTTGTAAACGGGGACGGTAGCATTCGGCCTATAAACGACTTATCTTATCCAAGAAACGATCCTGACATCCCGTCAGTAAACTCTTTTGTAAACGCGGAGGATTTCACGACGTCATGGGACGATTTTGCGAGAGTGTCCACTTTCTTTCGGAAGACAGAGGACCCAGTACACCTGGCCATTTTCGACTGGGAAAAGGCGTACCGCCAAATCCCAACATTGAGAGAGCAACAATCATATACCATGATTATGGATTCAAATGGGATGATATGGTGGGATACTCGCATAGGTTTCGGAGGAGTGGCCGGCTGTGGGTCCTTTGGCAGAG